TAACTTGGGTCAAACGTTTCGTGTAGCCTTCCACGAGCTTCTCACAATAAGTTGGGTGAATCTTGTCCCATTCCTCCTGACAGAGCTGGTAACTGAGTCAGGTTTGTAGGCCTCCTTGCTCGCACACGCTTTTTCTGCTCTGCTCACAAATGTTCTATAGGATTGAGGTCAGGGCTTTGGTATGGCCACTCCAATACCTTGACTTTGTTGTCCTTTTTTTTTGCCACAACTTTGGAAGTATGCTTGGGGTCATTGTCCATTTGGAAGACCCATTTGCGACCAAGCTTTAACTTCCTGACTAATGTCTTGAGATGTTACTTCAATATATCCACATAATTTTCCTTCCTCATGATGCCATCTATTTTGTGAAGTGCACCAGTCCCTCCTGCAGCAAAGCACCTCCACAGCATGATGCTGCCACCCCCGTGCTTCACGGTTGGGATGGTGATCTTTTTCCTCCAAACTAAACGATGGTCATTATGGCCAAACTGTTCTATATTTGTTTCATCAGACCAGAGGACATTTCCCAAAAAGTATGATATTTGACCCCATGTGCAGTTGCAAGCCGTAGTCTGGCTTTTTTATGGCGGTTTTGGAGCAGTGGCTTCTTCCTTGCTGAGCGGCCTTTCAGGTTATGTCAATATAGGACTCGTTTTACTGTGGATATACAGTGGGGGAAAAAAGTATTTGATCCCCTGCTGATTTTGTACGTTTGCCCACTGACAAAGACATGATCAGTCTATAATTTTAATGGTAGGTTTATTTGAACAGTGAGAGACAGAATAACAACAACAAAATCCAGAAAAACGCATGTCAAAAATGTTATAAATTGATTTGCATTTTAATGAGGGAAATAAGTATTTGACCTCTCTGCAAAACATGACCTAGTACTTGGTGGCAAAACCCTTGTTGGCAATCACAGAGGTCAGACGTTTCTTGTAGTTGGCCACCAGGTTTGCACACATCTCAGGAGGGATTTTGTCCCACTCCTCTTTGCAGATCTTCTCCAAGTCATTAAAGTTTCGAGCCTGACGTTTGGCAACTCGAACCTTCAGCTCCCTCCACAGATTTTCTATGAGATTAAGGTCTGGAGATTGGCTAGGCCACTCCAGGACCTTAATGTGCTTCTTCTTGAGCCACTCCTTTGTTGCCTTGGCCGTGTGTTTTGGGTCATTGTCATGCTGGAATACCCATCCACGACCCATTTTCAATGCCCTGGCTGAGGGAAGGAGGTTCTCACCCAAGATTTGACGGTACATGGCCCCGTCCATCGTCCCTTTGATGCCGTGAAGTTGTCCTGTCCCCTTAGCAGAAAAACACCCCCAAAGCATAATGTTTCCACCTCCATGTTTGACGGTGGGGATGGTGTTCTTGGGGTCATAGGCAGCATTCCTCCTCCTCCAAACACGGCGAGTTGAGTTGATGCCAAAGAGCTTGATTTTGGTCTCATCTGACCACAACACTTTCACCCAGTTCTCCTCTGAATCATTCAGATGTTCATTGGCAAACTTCAGACGGGCCTGTATATGTACTTTCTTGAGCAGGGGGACCTTGCGGGTGCTGCAGGATTTCAGTCCTTCATGGCGTAGTGTGTTACCAATTGTTTTCTTGGTGACTATGGTCCCAGCTGCCTTGAGATCATTGACAAGATCCTCCCGTGTAGTTCTGGGCTGATTCCTCACCGTTCTCATGATCATTGCAACTCCACGAGGTGAGATCTTGCATGGAGCCCCAGGCCAAGGGAGACTGACAGTTCTTTTGTGTTTCTTCCATTTGCGAATAATCGCACCAACTGTTGTCACCTTCTCACCAAGCTGCTTGGCGATGGTCTTGTAGCCCATTCCAGCCTTGTGTAGGTCTACAATCTTGTCCCTGACATCCTTGGAGAGCTCTTTGGTCTTGGCCATGGTGGAGAGTTTGGAATCTGATTGATTGATTGCTTCTGTGGACAGGTGTCTTTTATACAGGTAACAAGTGCTCCTAATCTCAGCTCGTTACCTGTATAAAAGACACCTGGGAGCCAGAAATCTTTCTGATTGAGAGGGGGTCAAATACTTATTTCCCTCATTAAAATGCAAATCAATTTATAACATTTTTGACATGCGTTTTTCTGGATTTTTTTATTGTTATTCTGTCTCTCATTGTTCAAATAAACCTACCATTAAAATGATAGACTGATAATTTCTTTGTCAGTGGGCAAACGTACAAAATCAGCATGGGATCAAATACTTTTTTCCCTCACTGTAGATACGTTTGTACCTTTTTCCTCCAGCATCTTCACAAGGTCCTTTGCTGTTGTTCTGGGATTGATTTGCACTTTTCGCACCAAGGTACGTTCATCTCTAGGAGACAGAACGCGTCTCCTTCCTGAGTGGTATGACGCTGCGTGTTCCCTTGGTGTTTATACTTGCGTACTATTGTTTGTACAGATGAACGTGGTACCTTCAGGCGTTTGGAAATTGCTCCCAAGGATGAACCAGACTTGTGGAGGTCTACACATTTTTTTCTGAGATCTTGGCTGATTTCTTTAGATTTTCCCATGATGTCAAGCAAAGAGGCACTGAGTTTGAAGGTAGGCCTTGAAATACATCCATAGATACACCTCCAATTGACTCAAATTATGTTAATTAGCCTATCAGAAGCTTCTAAGGCTATGACATCATTTTCTGGAATTTTCCAAGCTGTTTAAAAGCACAGTCAACTTAGTGTATGTAAACTTCTGACCCACTGGAATTGTGATACAGTGAACTATAAGTGAAATAATCTGTCTGTAAACAATTGTTAGAAAAATTACTTGTGTCATGCACAAAGTAGATGTCCTAACCGACTTGCCAACACTATAGTTTGTTAACAAGAAATTGGTGGAGTGGTTGAAAAACAAGTTTTAATGACTCCAACCTAAGTGTATGTAAACTTCCGACTTCAACTGTAAGTATTTAGACCCTTTGCTATGAGACTTGAAATTGAGCTCAGGTGCATCCTGTTTCCATTGATCATACTTGAGATGTTTCTACAACTTGATTGGAGTCTACCTGTGGTAAATTCAATTGATTGGACATGATTTGGAAAGGCACACACCTGTCTATATAAGGTCCCACAGTTGACAGTGCATGTCAGAGCAAAGACCAAGCCATGAGGTCGATGGAATTGTCCGTAGCACGCCGAGACAGGATTGTGTCGAGGCACAGATCTGGGGAAGGCTACCAAAAAGTTTCTGCAGCATTGAATGTCCCCAAGAACACAGTGGCCTCCATCATTCTTAAATGGAAGAAGTTTGGAACCACCAAGACTTTTCCTAGAGCTGAATGCCTGGCCAAACTGAGCAATCGGGGGAGAAGGGCCTTGGTCAGGGAGGTGACCAAGAACCTGATGGTCACTCTGACAGAGCTCCAGAGTTCCTCTGTGTAGGTGGGAGAACCTTCCAGAAGGACAACCATCTCTGCAGCACTCCACCAAGCAGGCCTTTATGGCAGGGTGGCCAGATGGAAGCCACTCCTCAGTAAAAGGCACATGACAGCCCGCTTGGAGTTTGCCATGAAAAACAAGATTCTCTGGTCTGATGAAACCAAGATTGAACTCATTGGCCTGAATGCCAAGCGTCACGTCTGGAGGAAACCTGGCACCATCCCTACGGTGAAGCATGGTAGTGGCAGCATCGTGCTCTGGGGATGTTTTTCAGTTGTAGGGACTGGGAGACTGGTCAGCGTCGAGGAGAAGATGAACGGAGCAAAGTACAGAGGGATTCTTGATGAAAATCTGGTCCAGAGCGCTCAGGACCTCCAACTGGGGCGCAGGTTCACCTTCCAACAGGACAACGACCCTAAGCACACAGCCAAGACAACGCAGGAGTGGCTTCGTGACAAGTTTCTGAATGTCCTTGAGTGGCCCAGCCAGAGCCTGGACTTGAACCCGATCGAACATCTCTGGAGAGACCTGAAAATAGCTGTGCAGCGACACTCTCCATCCAACCTGACAGAGCTTGAGAGGATCTGCAGAGAAGAATGGGAGAAACTCCCCAAATTCAGTTGTGCCAAGCTTGTACCGTCATACCCAAGAAGATTCGAGGCTGTAATCGCTGCCAAAGGTGCTTCATCAAAGTAATGAGTAAAGGGTATGAATACTTATGTAAATATCATATTTCATTTTTTCATTTTTAATAAATTAGCTAAAATTTATAATAACCTGTTTTTGCTTAGTCATTATGGGGTATTGTGTGTAGATTGATGAGGGGGGAAAAAGTCAAGGGGTATGAATACTTTCCGAATGCACTGTATGTATTTTTTTTGCAAATCACAAGTGGGGCCCCACCTGTAGTCGGCTATTGTGATCTTCCATAAATCTGGCTGTGAATTAAATAAAGAGGGCACACATAGAGACAGACAGACAGACCAACCTGGTAGACGTAACATAGTAAAAGTAATTCTGTCTCCCTCCATTTAGTATGATGGGCGGGCCGCTGCTGTATCATACTAATTTGAGTGTCCCGGATGTACGTTTCCTTTGTTATGTCTAGTCTATGAGACCAGGCTGGACGGACAGACAGAAAGACAGAAAGACACACACACACACAAAGGAGAGTCGTCATTCTAAGCATAACTTTTGATTAGCTAGTTTCATTAGTGCCTTCCTTAGTACCCCTGTTTGACGTGTTAAGGAGTAGAAAAGTATCTCATCCAAGGGCAATGAATTCAATTTGTCCTGCTGGGGGCCATAGGGCTTGAACCCTGCCAATGCTGCTTGCAGCTATATTTTCATATTAAATTCTGAGCTATGAAGGAGGTGGAGGGTGATTATTTATGACAACACCAACACTTGGACTTCACCCCCGTATTTTTCATCTTAATGCTCGCTTTCTGGGTAGCTCTCCCTCTTCAAACCTCAGAGGGAACAACAACATTGGGAGCAGCTAGGTGACTTTACAGTCAATCTCACCTTGGGCTTATCTCCGCCCCCATATCACTGCAGATTAAACAGGCTGAATTAGACTGAGCTCAGCCCAGCCGTGGTGAGACGTGCCTGGGGAACAGCAGAGAGACAATGTGGTTCTGCTGGGACTGGAGCAGGGAGTGTGGGCTTCACGGCAGAGGCTGGGTGGGCCCCACAGTGCTGCTCTGTATCTATGGCTTCTGCTCAATGATGAGACCCTCTGAGCCTTTCCTCACAGACTACCTCACCGGGCCATACAAGAACCTCACCACCAAACAGGTATGGCACATTAATTGTTTATTCATTTAACCTTGATTTAGCTAGAGAAGTCATATCAAAAATGTAGCTCAGCTGGTAGAGCACGGCGCTTGTAACGCCAAGGTAGTGGGTTCGATCCCCGGGACCACCCATACACAAAAAAAATTATGCACGCACGACTGTAAGTCGCTTTGGATAAAAGCGTCTGCTAAATGGCTTATTATTATATTATATTATATAACGGCAAATGCTTTTATGTGAATGTATTGTTGTATGATTTATCCTGCCATTTTCCTGATCTTCCCACAGGTTACAAAGCAGGTGTTCCCAATATGGGCGTATTCCAACCTCTTCCTACTCATCCCAACCTTCCTGGTGACAGACATTCTGAGGTACAAGCCTGTCATTGTCCTCCAGGCACTCAACTACATCTTGGCATTTCTGCTGTTCATCTTCAGCTCTGGCGTGGTGTTGACTCAGTTCGCCCTCTTCATCTACAGTATGGGCACCGCGGCAGACGTGGCCTACTATTCCTATATCTACAGTGTTGTCCACCCCCAGTATTACCAGAGAGTAACTAGCTATGCCAGAGGGGCTGTGCTACTGGGCTACGCAGCAGGAGCCATGTTGGGTCAACTCCTGGTGTCCCTGGGAGGGGTTTCCATCTACTGGCTCAATGTCATTACACTGGGATCCCTCTGTGTGGCGCTGTTGGCTGCCCTCCTCCTGCCCATGCCCCAGGGAAGCCTGGTCCTGGGGGGGACTCAGACTAATATCGGCCCATTCGAGGAGGTTGTGTCCAGTTCATGTGGATCCTGGGTTGTGTGGTGGCTGAGGAGGGGGAGGATGGCCGGGAGGGGGAAAATGAGAGCTCTGAAGAGGTTGGCGGTGGATTGTAAAGAGTGTTACTCCTCTGTGGCTGTGCTGTTCTTCTGTGTGTGGTCAGCCATGGGGAAGTGTGGCTACCACCAGATCACAGGCTACGTGCAGATCCTCTGGGCAATCAAACAGCCCCAGTACAACTTCACAGAATACAATGGAGGGGTGGAGGCTGTCGCCACACTCTCAGGTAACATAACTATTCTCTATAACACCCTCTCCACATGACTCTTGGTAACGCGCTGGAGTTAAACCCCATATTTCACTCTCCTAACAAATGTTGTTTTAACATTGAACTTCAAGTGTACTGCGTATCATCAACTATTACACTTTCTACCCCTTTTAAGGCGATCCAGGACTACACGTATATTCCATGACTGTTGAATGTATTTACTATTCAATATTTGTGTGTTAAACCCTAACAGCATTAAAGACATAGCTGTAAAGATGGTCACCGGCAATAGCCACTAAACTACCACTATTTTCTAACACCCAGTAAACACAGCATTAATTACACTGGCTAATTACCTCTGCTGTCTATTGTATCCAGATGGCTCAGACCAGCTGGAACACGTCACAGACAGGCTTTCCTTTGGATTTTTAGCTCTGAAACATTCCCCTATATCCCTGGAAACCACAGGCAATTACTGTGTTTAAATTACATCCTGCTTCATATCTCCACTTTATAAATTATTCTGGTTGACATGCAATCACAGTTTCTATATCTTTGACTAAGTAAATTCAAATGTTTTGTTTAAAGGCCCAATGCAGTCAAAAATGTGATTTTTCTGTGTTGTATATACATTTCCACACTATGGGGTTGAAATAAACTGTGAAATTGTGAAAATTGTGATAATACCTTTTAGTGTAAGAGCTGTTTGAAAAGAGATTTGGCCTTCATGCAGTAAATGTTTTAATAGTCCAATAAGAAAGAGAGTTCCAAACCTCTCTGTCAATAACAGCTTTACCACAATGAACTTGGCAATATGAATGTTATTGGAAACAGATTGGTGAAAAGCATGAACCAAGACTGTTTTGCATGAACATGTAATATATTCCTGCTATCAAAAACCCTTATCCTCTTCACATATGAGTTCTACACACATTGGAGTTATAACTACCAGTGTTATCAGTATAAACTCATCCACTCCAAGCAGCACACATTTCATAGAACGGTCAGAGGGTTCTGTCCTCTCCATCCATATTGTTTCTATAACCTCCTGCCAGGATCAAAAGCACGCTCTGTAATACTAATTACCAGGAATGTGTCCCTGCTTATTTCATTTCAATTTATGTCATTATCTGACTCTCATGGAGGGATTACAGCCAACGCTAGGCTATTAGCAGGTCTGTCTCATAACCCTCTTCAGATGGAAGGCCTCTCCTCTCCTTCTCCTTTCCTCTTTATCCTCCTCTCCTTTTCCTCTCTTCCTCCCCTCCTCCTCTCCTTCCTCAGAATGAGATTAATTCCATTAGGCGTAGCTGTACTCTCCTCAGGCCCAGAAATTGATTAAATACAGAGAGCGGTCAGCAGTTCTTATAAACCAGCTATTATTGATCTGCCAAGGCGGGATGGGCCAATTAATATAGGTTTTAAGTGGATTAAAACAAGCCCAAGCTAGCTATAGTAGCCTATATTGCATTAGCGTCAGAGTGATATGGAGAATATTCAGGGTCCTTTCCTGACTGGGTCTTGTCACTTTCATTGTTACAATTCTGACTTACAGTTTATGTATGGACTACTCTATAGCCCAAAAGAAACATGATGAGTGGTGTATTTGGTTAAGAACTTTTTTTCTACCAGATTAGTGAGAATTTATCTACCTATGTTCCCAGGGGCGGCAGCCTCCATAGTTGTGGGCCATGTGGCTCTGGACTGGTCAGTGTGGGGGGAGCTGGTCCTGGGTGTGTTGACTGCTCTGACTGCTGGAGTTCTTTACCTGATGGACCTGACCAACAGCATCTGGATCTGTTACGGCTGCTATGGACTTTTCAAAACCATCTACATGGAGCTCATCACCATGTGCACGTAAGATATCTTTCAACCATAGGAAATATCAAGTTTAGGGACTGGGCAGTCAATCAATCAATCAATTATTGTTTTACTGTACAAAGCAGAATCCTGATAGAGGTGACTCTATGTCTAATGATTCCCTTTGTGTGTCTCTGTAAGGTTCCAGATAGCCCAAGGCTTGAGCAGGGAGCGCTATGCCCTGGTGTTTGGTGTAAACAGTTTTGTGGGCATGGCCCTGCAGAGTCTTCTCACAGCCATTGTAGTCAACACCAAGAGCCTGCAACTCACAATCACCTCACAGGTACTGCAAAGAGAATTACACTGACTACCACACACACATACACTCACCTCACTGAAATAAAATCATCTTACAAGCAATTACTGACAGTAATTGAAAAAGTGGTAGGTATTGTGTAACTACTTGTACTTTCTTGCTTATAACATAGTAATAACAACAGTATGTTGTTACTTACACTGGTAGTTACTGTGTTATAACACATTTGTAATGTAATGTAGCCTAATAAGAGTGTTCCTCTCATCTCCTTCCCCTTGCAGTTCTTTGTCTATGCCAGTTACTTTGCTGCTATGGCCGTGTTGTTCCTTATCAGAGGAGTGTATACTCTTCTCCAGAGCCGATTGGTAGAGCTCATCCCAGCTGAGGGCCTATCAGAGAGAAGAACTGACCTGCCACAAGTCTCACCTCTGGCATGACACTCAAACAAAGGGAAAGAACATACAGCACTGCCACCACACCTAGCCTAAATGGAGAACAAACCAATGCAACGGATACACAACCACCTGTATTATTTCTGTCCAAGGAGTGCAATATCTAAATTTAACCACCAGAGAGCACTGTAACCTTATGAACATGGCCAATATTGTTTCAAGTTTCCAGCTGACTCTTTACTAGCCTGAGTGCAAGTCTATTTCTGCCATAGAGATCCTATTAAATTACTAGAGGGACATTGTCATAAACCCTTAAGTTCCAGAATGAAGTGAAAATGGCAGCCATATTGTTCAGGGAGAATTCCAAACCAGTCTAATTGGAATTAATTTCAGTAGAGGCATAATCCTGAGTTTACTTATGCAGGAAAATAAAAGTAATTCATGTGATTTATCAGAAATTGTGTAATAGAATTATTGTCAACATAAAAATTGTCATATAATTATAAATACAGTTTATACATGTTCTATACCAATTTTCTGTACAAATAGTCTATAAAATATATGTAAACAGACCATAAATGTCTAAATGTTGGTTTTCTTGGAATGCTGTGAGCTCTATTATCAAATCAAATCAAATCATACATTATATGATTGAATATTATGTGATACAATATCAGTACTTGTTGCATTTACAACTTATCTAAGTCCTATCATCAACTGATTTCAGCCAGTGTTTGGGCTGTGGATTGAATGCATTGTTTGAATGGAATGTTGGTATATTGGCAATTTTTTTTTTTATTATTCAATCATTCCTCTAAAACTGTCAATGGCAATGGTTGACCAACTCCCTGACCTTTATACCATCATCACATTTTAGTAATTTAGCAGACACTCTTATCCAGAGCAACTTACAGTTAGTGAATACATACATTTACTTATTTTATTAATTTTTTCATACTGGCCCCCTGTGGGAAACGAACCCACATCCCTGCCGGCCAAACCCTCCCCTACCTTGGACGACGCTGGACCAATTGTGCCAGGATCTCTAGTGGCACAGCTAGCACTGCGATGCAGTCCCTTAGACCACTGCGCCACTCGGGAGTCATAAGACGGTTCATGTCCATTCTAGTATTCTAATTCCTAATTCTATGGTGTCTGCTCTCTTGCCAACTCCTTATGGAATTGTCTTGTAATGTTTAGCTAAATGACAATGACAATGGAGTAGGCAAAAGCGCAAACAGATCTGGGATCAGGCAAACAAAACCAAATAATCATGTCCTGCATTTTATCAACAATTTCAAACACCACTAATTTAGAAAAAAAGGTAGATTTGTCCCGTATTTCAGTCAGACATTCCAACCTGTCTCTTGCGGTCACGTTGCGCTTATGAAAATGTACAGTTGAAGTCGGAAGTTTACATACACTTAGGTTGGAGTCATTAAAACTCGTTTTTCAACCACTCCACAAATGTATTGTTAATTTATTTTTGTATTTTTTAGTGATCCAATTGACATTGTAGTCATTTAGCAGACGCTCTTATCCAGAGCGATTTACTATTAGTGAGTGCATACATTTTTCATACTGGCCCCCCGTGGGCCAGTTTGTTAACAAACTATAGTTTTGGCAAGTCGGTTAGGACATCTACTTTGTGCATGACACAAGTAATTTTTCCAACAATTGTTTACAGACAGATTATTTCACTTATAATTCACTGTATCACAATTCCAGTGGGTCAGAAGTTTACATACACTAAGTTGACTGTGCCTTTAAACAGCTTGGAATATTCCAGAAAATGATGACATGGCTTTAGAAGCTTCTGATAGGCTAATTGACATCATTTGAGTCAATTGGAGGTGTACCTGTGGATGTATTTCAAGGCCTACCTTCAAACTCAGTGCCTCTTTGCTTGACATCATGGGAAAATCAAAAGAAATCAGCCAAGACCTCAGAAAAAAAATTGTAGACCTCCACAAGTCTGGTTCATCCTTGGGAGCAATTTCCAAATGCCTGAAGGTACCACATTCATCTGTACAAACAATAGTACGCAAGTATAAACACCATGGGACCACGCAGCCATCATACCGCTCAGGAAGGAGATGCGTTCTGTCTCCTAGAGATGAACGTACTTTGGTGCGAAAAGTGCAAATCAATCCCAGAACAACAGCAAAGGACCTTGTGAAGATGCTTGAGGAAACAGGTACAACAGTATCTATATCCACAGTAAAACGAGTCCTATATTGACATAACCTGAAAGGCCGATCAGCAAGGAAGAAGCCACTGCTCCAAAACCCCCATAAGAAAGCCAGACTACGGTTTGCAACTGCACATGGGGACAAAGATCGTACTTTTTGGAAAAATGTCCTCTGGTCTGATTAAACAAAAATAGAACTGTTTGACCATAATGACCATCGTTATGTTTGGAGGAAAAAGGGGGTTGCTTGCAAGCCGAAGAACACCATCCCAACCGTGAAGTACGGGGGTGGCAGCATCATGCTGTGGGGGTGCTTTGCTGTAGGAGGGACTGGTGCACTTCACAAAATAGATGGCATCATGAGGAAGGATATATTGAAGCAACATCTCAAGACATCAGTCAGGAAGTTAAAGCCTGGTCGCAAATGGGTCTTCCAAATGGAGAATGACCCCAAGAATAATTCCAAAGTTGTGGCAAAATGGCTTAAGGACAACAAAGTCAAGGTATTGGAGTGGCCATCACAAAGCCCTGACCTCAATCCTATAGAACATTTGTGAGCAGAACTGAAAAAGCATGTGCGAGCAAGGAGGCCTACAAACCTGACTCGGTTACACCAGCTCTGTCAGGAGGAATGGGCCAAGATTCACCCAACTTATTGTGGGAAGCTTGTGGAAGGCTACCCGAAACGTTTGACCCAAGTTAAACAATTGAAAGGCAATGCTACCAAATACTAATTGAGTGTATGTAAACTTCTGACCCACTGAGAATGTGATTAAATAAATAAAAGCTGAATTAAATCATTCTCTCTACTATTATTCTGACATTTCACATTCTTAAAATAAAGTGGTGATCCTAACTGACCTAAGACAGGGAATTTTTACTAACATTAAATGTCAGAAATTGTGAAAAACGGTTTCTTTAAATGTATTTGGCTAAGGTGTATGTAAACTTCTGACTTCAACTGTATATATCATAAGGATCTGGTAGCCTAAGCCTACTGGTTAAGTTAAACACTTCTCCAATCATTGTTGAGATCTGATATTTTATAATACATCATTAAATGGGCATTGCTCATCTAACGTTAGCTACTCCATACAGTCAAATTGGCTTGGTTGCTAATGTTACGTGTGCAGACAGATTTCAGCTCATAAAATAACAGCTGCTAGCTAGCTAGCCTTCGACCAAGATCAACCATGCCTCTCACAACACAAACTGTAGCTCATAAAATTGGCTTACAAAGAAAAAGTTAGCTAGCTAGTACACCAGACAGACACTTTTCGACCATCCAAAACAAAGCTATTTAACGTTAGCTAACGTTACAGATCTTACCTTATGCATTAATTCAGTACATTCCCTCCCCTCTCCATGCAAATGTCTTCTTGTCATTATAATAAAAATGTTCACTGACTGATCAATACAGTGTCAAGTTACTTTTCAGTGTGTTCCCCAAAATCCAAATTTGCCATCCACAAAAGTAACACTTTGTGCGAGTGCACACGTGCACCCAGTTAAAACAACAATATAATTCCTTGCTAGCGCAACTGAAACTGTGCGCAGTCAAAAGAAAACGCCATGCTTGCTAACTTGGTTAGAGCTAACTCTATAAATGACCTAACTGTATAAATGAGACTGTTTTCAACATATCAACTGTTTTTAGACCATTTATTTTTAACCAAGCAAGAGAAATAAACGTTCAATCAGTAATGAGTGAATGAACAACAAAAACATTGTGCAACGAAAGCATCCTGTCATCACCAGACTGTCCAGTTAAATAGAGTTAACATGTTTATAATTAAATTGACATGTTTATAATAAGGTTTGTAGTGTAACGGTTAGCGTCACCACCTTTGGAACTAAAGGTCCTGGGTTTGCCTCTTGGAGGATACATTTTCACCATTCTCTTTAGTGTATAGTTTTGACACAGAGTGCTTATTTGCATTTATTAGGTGGCTCTTAAAGAGCCTTTGGGTTTGTGGAGTGGCAGGCAAGTGGCAGTGAGAGTGGTGGTGTGTACTACTGCGTGCGTCTTGCTAGAACGGAGGAGAGACCAGCTCACAGACTATCAAGGAAGAAAGAGGTCGTTGCCCTCATCCATGAGATGCACGCCATACAGTACTGCACAGGGACACAGTGCTTTATGGCAGAGTGGCGGATTGTGGGCATGCGCCTGCAAGCTGGCCCATGTGGAACTGACAAACGACTTATGCCAATTCAAAAGCACATAGTACACATGGTACTTGGACACCATTAATACTTAAAATGTATGTTCTAATCCAAGTCTGTGAGTACTTTCACCTTTTCATATTTAAACTGCCATTTATAAATGAGGACATGTGTGCTCTTTTACTGGAGATGGACAGCTGTGTACAGCACTACTTAGGACATTTGTAGCTTAACTTTTTAGAGCACCTATCCAATATCAGATTTGTAAATATGTCTGTAATTTTTCTTAAGAGTTCTGAACTTGTTGCTCAGCAGTTTGTCATTTGTTGCAGCGTTAATATCAGGAGTTATCAAAATTGCTCTTGACGATCTATAGCGTTATGCAGGATTTTCTCTTCAAGCTCAGTGCTACCACACCTGATTCTACTACTCAAATGTTCAGCAAGACCTCAGCTGTTCATCAAGAGCATGAATAGTAGAATCAGGTGTGGTAGAACTGGGCTTGAACAAAAAAGCCTGCATAAACCTGTAGCTTGTCAAAAGCCATTGTGGCCATCCATGAATTGTATTTACAAAGTTGAGTATGTCTGCTTAATGTACATTTGGTTGTAAATGTTACATTTAGTGATAATTAACTGTTGTTTACAAGTAATGTAGTACTTGGCTTTTCTTCAGTAACTATAAGGTA